TTCTTTCTTTCTTTCTTTCTTTCTTTCTTTCTTTCTTTCTTTCTTTCTTTCTTTCTTTCTTTTTAAGGCAGGGTTTCTCTCTGTGTAACAGCTCTGGAACTTGCTTTGTAGGCCAGGCTGGCCCCAAACTCACAGAGTCTCGTTTTGTTTTTTATATATGTTAGTGGAAACATCAGGTTGGTAGCTTACAGCCAAGCTGGGAAATCTCTGCTATAGATTTTGGTCGCTATTTGCTGACATGCGTAGCTTTGGGGTTGGTGGAAGCTAGTGACCTGTTAATACATCCAAAAATGTTTCAAATGATGGTCACAAAAATGGTAGGTTAGACACAGAGGAGGGCCATGAGTGCTCACTAAAGGGGCTGAAGATATCTGTATAGTTACTTTTCTATCACCATGGCCAAGGCAACTTATAGAAGAAAGAGTTCATTTGGCCTTACGGTTCCAGAGGTTTAGAGTCCACGATGGTGGAGAGAAGGAAGAGCAACAGGAGCAGGAAGCCAGGGGCTCATGTCTTTTGTTTGCTTTTGACTCACATCTTGAGCTACAAACGAGAAAAGAAAAAGAAAAAACAAGAAATGGTGGATGTCTTTAAACACTCAAAGCCCACCTTCAGTGACACACTTCCTCCAACAAGGCCACACCTCCTAAGCCTCCCCAAACAGTGCCTCCAACAGAGATTATGGGAGACATTTCTCATTTAAAGCACCACAATAGGGCTAGAGAGATGGCTCAGAGGTTAAGAGCACTGGCTGCTCTTCCAGAGGTCCTGAGTTCAATTCCCAGCAACCACATGGTGGCTGACAACCATCTGTGATGAGATCTGGCTCCCTCTTCTGACCTGTAGTCATACATGCTGTATACAAAATAAATAAATAAATCTTAAAAAAAATAAATAAAAAGCACCACAATAGCTCCAAGTAAATTGGCTCTGGATTTGCAAAATTCTAACTCTGTACAATCCAAACCTCTAATCTGCCAATCAGCTTAGTAGAATCTTTAACATATGTGTGGCTTTGGGGGAAAAACAATGAAAAGTCAATAATCTATAGCTGTGTATCTCAGATTGGCCTTGAACTTGAGAGGATCCTGCTGCCCCAACCTCCCAGCTGGGGTTACTGACAGGCATCACTGTGGTTGGTCACCTTAGTGGTTTTGATAGATGCTATTCTTTTACAGCAAGGCAAAGTCCATATTGATTGCTACTGTATTATCAGAAAT